TGCAGGGTGGAGGCAAAGTGGTTAAGTTGGAAAAAGCCAGCAGACTCCTGGGTTGGGAACTTAGCAAAGATGGGGCCACTGCCAGAGCGGGTTGGGGTTCTTCTGGCATTGCCACCGGTCATTTGATATCAGCACTGGCATTCCTGCCACAGGACACAAAGCACCCGTCTGTGCCAGACGACTTCCTTTCCCAGAATAATAACAGGGTTTCACCACCTCCAGCCTCTAGGATATCAAGGTCCAAATCATTCTAGTATTTCTAGAAGGGAGCACTCAGTGGGAGTGGGAGCATGCTGGGTGAATCTCAGTGTTGTACCCGTGCTCCTACTCCGGAGAGTGAAGAAGAACAAATAAGGGATCTTTCCTGCGAGATGCTGATAACAAGAGTGAAAGTGCTGGACAGTCAAAACACAGCTGGCATCCATGCTGGTGCATTCCATCAATACCTACAGACATGAGTTGAGAATATTGCTGTTCAGTCAACCAGGTGAGTCCTTTTCTGGGACTCACCTGCACTGAGGTGCATGTGCCTCAGAGCAACTGACAGCTATGCAGACTTTGCTACCTCCTGCCTCTCCTTCAGCCCTCAGGGAGCCTCAGCAGCAAGCACAAGACCTGCTTTAATTATGGCTAAGGAAACAATTCTAGTTCTTTCTGGAACTCTTGACATGTTTCAGCCTACTTAAAAAAAAAATCTTGCTACATTAAAAGAAAAAGAAAAATCATAACAGGCTACACTGCTTACCTTGTTCTTAGAACACCCCTTTAAGCAAATTTCAATCTGCTCTTGCTCTCCCCGTGCCTGGAACCCTCTTTTTCCAGAGCAACTTCTTCTCCCAGAGAACACAGCTTTCCTCCTTTCATTCTAGTATTTTTGTCCAAATGCCATCTCCTCAGAGTGGCCTTCCCTCACCCCTCATCCAACAGGTACCTCCTTTTGCCCTGTTCCCTGCTCTGCTTCTCTTCATGGCCTGTCACGGCTGCCATTGTCTCCCCGACATAGTATTGTTTTGGTTCTGCTGTCTCCCTTTCCTCACTGAACCTCCCATGAGGGCAAGATCTCTGACTCACCCTGTGCTCCAACACAGCCGTATTCAATAAATATTTACTATATGAATGAATGAATCCAGGCTTAAGTAAAGAAAGGAAACACCTTTGTTATAATCTCTAGAATAAACAGTGCCCGTGTTCCATTCCTAGGGCTTCTAGAACAAAGCACCACAAACCCACTGGCTTAACTATAGAAATGTATTGTGTCCCAGTTCTCGAGGCTAGAAGCGCAAGATCAAGGTGTTGGCAGAGTTGGTTCCCTCTGAGGACTGAGAGGGAGTCTTTGCCATTCTCCGCCTCCAGCCTCACTGGTTTGCTGGTCAGTGTTGACTTTCCTGGACTTGCAGAAGTGTCCCCCCAAGCTCTGCCTTTTACTTGCTGTTTTCTCTGGGTGCATCTCTGCACACATTTCCATTATCTGTGAGGACACCAGTCATCGAGTTAGGGAGCCACCTCCTCAAGTATGACTTCCTTTTAAGTTACTACATCTGTGAAGACCCAATTCCCAAATAAGGTCACATTCCGAGGTACGGGGCCATCCACATAGAAATGGAGGTGGGGAAATCCAGCGGCTTGGATTTGTTTATTGTACAATGGTGAAATCATCCTGATGTTGTTAAAGAGAGGTTTAGTCAGTAGGTTTAGTTACATTTACTTGGGTGCCCAGTGATGTGTTAGTTTGTTACACAGATTGCAATTTACAATAGTGTGTGAATTGGTTTGTAAATTAAAAATTGTTCATTAGATGTTGAGTTATCTGTTGGGTACACTGACAAATGAGTAACATATTATCCTGAAAGAACCAATACCTTTGATTTGCTAATCTTCAGATCCCCCAAAGCAATTTTCCTTACTAGGGTAGCTCAGTCTGCAGACCGCTTACAATATTACCCAGTTCTTGGGCCTCCCCGGGGGCGCAGCGGTTGAGCGCTGGGTTGCGAGGCTGCGTGTAGCCTCTGCAGCGCCGGTTCGATCCCCGGCTGCTCCCCGGCCACCGGGTGAGGGTCCCACATGGCGCGCAGACCTCTCCTGCCGCCCGCTGCTCCCCTCAGCAGTGTACCTTGGTCCTTCTGCCTGCTCTGCTCCCCGCTCTGGCTCTGGTGAATTCTCTCACCCTCCCGCGCTTCTGACTGTACCCAGTGCTTGTATAAATAAATAAATAAATAAATAATAAATAAATATTACCCAGTTCTTCTCCACCATCAGACTGCTTTTAAGCAGTAATATTGAATAATGTTTTCATATTTTATTTATTCATTTGACAACATCTACATCATTAATTACGTGTTAGGTACTGTTATAAGTGCTTGACAAATGTTAACTCACAAACAACCCAATGTGGTTCATAATTAACATTATTACTAAAAATAATATTATTTGTATTTTATTAATGAGGAAACTGAGCACAGAGAGAGGTGAAGGAACTTGCCCAAGCTCACACAGCTGCTGAACAGCATTGTCAGGCTATGAAAGTAAGAAGTTTGTAGATATTTTGGTAGTAGCCCGTTTTTTCTCCACAGAATGTCTCATGGAAAAGCTCAATGTGGGGCCTCCCTGGTGCTGCAGGGGTTAAAGACAGCACTATCAAGCTATTGGCAGCCACTGCAGCACAAGTTCAATCCCCAGCCAGGGAGCTAACCACAGGGCACAATAGACCTCTCCTGACTCGCCCGCTGCTCCCCTCAGCAGTGTACTTCAGTAGATCCACCTGTTTTGCTACTCACTCTGTCTCTGGTGAATCCTCTCACCTCCCCCGCACCTCTGGCCTACACCCCAGTTCTTGTATGCATAAATAAATAAATCTTTAAAAAAGAAAAGTTCAGTGTGTGAGAAGAAGAACAAAGCAGAGCTACTTTGGTTCAAGTTGAGACAAAAAGCAAAGCCCTATCAGCTCAGCAACTCCTCTTTCCCCTGCGAACTCTGTTTGAAAAGCCCTGATCTAGGAAATAACACCTCTTGGCATGACGCCACTCGTAAGCTGTCTTCAATCCACTCTAGCATTAAACAAATAAAATCCTCTTCTCACTTTAATTAACTGATTGTGTTTTATTTTGAAAATTTTATCTGCCTAATCTACTTCTGGCTGAAATAAAATGCTAAGATGGATTTTCCCCAGGATGGTAATGCCATATGGCAATTTGGACTTTGCTAGCTTAGTTCCTCTTGGGTCTCTTTACACAAACCAAAGACTGGGGGCGCAAAAGTTATCTGAACCAAAGAAAGAAATGGAATTTGACTTCATATGCAAGGAGTTGGATATAAGCTTTCCAACCAGATAGGCATGAACTACCTACCCCCTCTGTTATGAGCTGCGGGTCTGTGCTTATTAATCGCGTAAAAGAAGACAAGAGACAATGTTAACAGTTAATGTCCATTGAGACCCTTCTACAAAATCAAAAACTAAAAAAACACTCATTTTTATAACTCTAGGTATTACTGCCCCTCATCAACGGGTATCTAAATTTGAGGCTAAGGTTTTATGTAACTTGCTGAAGATAGCTCAATCACTGCGTGGAGCAGGTAGGACATTCTCAGAAATCTAAGTGATTAAGGAGCAAAAGTATATAATATTAAAAATAAAAGGCTCCCAGCACAATATATTTTAGGATATGGAATGTGAGACCCAGTGCACTTTTTAGTTTATTAAAGACTGAGAATACATGGGATCCATTCTTAAAAGTCATTAATTCCTATGATTAAATGCCTCCTCTTATTTGTTAATGTATACCAAAGACGAAAAGAAGTTGAATCAATCTAATGCCACTATAGACCAAGGGGGATCGAACTGGAGAACAAAATATAAGTCAGATCAAATCAACGGCTCTGCTGGCCTCTATTTCCCCACTGGTCCAGCTCCACCCCATCTGCCAAACTCCAGCCCAGGGCTCAGCAACCTTTTCTGTAACAGGCTAGAGAACAACTATTTCAGGCATCATTTTTCAAATATTTTTCTCTGTCACCACTTCTCACCTCTCCTGTTGTAGCACAAAAATTGCATAGACAAAATGTAAACAGATGGCCAGGGGTGTGTTAGAGTAAAACCTCCTTTATGGACACTAAACTTGAGAACTTCATATCATTTTTGTGGGTCATGAAATGCTATTCTTTTGTGATTTTTTTTTGAGTGGTTCCAAAGTGTTAAGAACCATTTTTAGCTCTTAGGCTGTCCAAGCAGGTGGGCAGCCGGGTTGAACTGACCAGCTGTGGCTTGGAGGACACCCCTCTAGCCGCTACCTCAACCCCTTGGTTTCCAAACAATTACTTAGTGTTTCTTTCATTTTCAGCATTTAAATGTTGTCTTGGACCAAGAATTTATCCAGGAAGAGACTCAGAGGACCAAGTAACAGAAGTCCTCCACTCAATCTCTGCAAATCAGACTTGCAGTGTTGCAGCTGCCAGATCAGCTTCGACAGAAACAAATAGACGCCTTGGTGGCTGTCTACGGGATTGGAATGAAATGGAAAATTCTTGGCAGAGTCTGTCAATTTCCTTGAAGATTAAAGAGAAGCTGTCTAGTTAGAATGTGATTCTCGCAAATATGAAAATTCTTTGTACGTTTGAATGGCATAGGTTATGGCTAAATTTTATTTTATTTTATTTTTTAAAAATTGTTTATGCATACAAGAGCTGGGGTACAGGCCAGAGATGTGGGGGTCGGGGGGCGGGGTGAGAAGATTCTCCAGAGACCATCAGGTGGATTCACCAGACCACCAGGGTTCATCAGCTCATATTATTGAACAGGCAGACTGACTGAAACACACTGCTGCGTGGAGCAGCGGGCGAGACAGGAGAGGTCTGCTGCACCATGTGGGCTGCTCCCTGGCTGGCTGGGGATCAAACTCATGCTGCAGAGGCTGCGGATTGCTTCATAGTGCAGTGCTTAATCCCTTGCACCACCAGGGAGGCCCAATGGCTAAATTTTAAATATCTTTATTGTTGTGTTTTCTCAGTAGGGAAGCCAGCCTTAAAGTCACGGTCACTTCCTTGAGCCTGGTGTCAGAAAGGCCAGCGTTTGTATTTTACCTGTTAGTTTTATTGTGATCTTCGGTAAGTTAACATTACCTATGGGAGTTTGGCCTCCTTATCAGCAACTGAGATTAATAATCCTACTTCACAAAGCTTTCTGTTTAATTGAATTTTTAGTTCTTTACTATTTATTATGGGAGTATCAAACAGAATCAAGAAAGGCAGGGGAGTAAAATGAACTCCACGTTCCCCCAACGAGCTTAAGCAATTCCCTGCCTTTTGACAAACTGCTTCCATAGTTACCCTGTCCCATATTTTTCTTCCCTACTTCATGTAATATTTCCATACTCATGACTAACAGATAACATCTTTTGAAAGAACACTGCAAGTCCATTATCACACTTAGCAAAATTACAATGATTCTTTAACATCATCTACTGCCCTACCCAGGGAATGTTGAAATTTCCCCATATGTCTCAAAAATGACTGCAGATATTTGGTTTATGTGAATCAGAAACCAAAGAAGATTCGTTTATTGCATTTGTTCATGGATCTTTTCAAATTCTAAATTTATGGTAATTTTTCCCTCCTTTCCTCATCCTTCCTTATAAAATTAACATGTGGAAGGAAGTAGTTATTTTTCACAGTAGAAATTTTTCACAGTCTGGATTTGGCTGGTTGCAACCTTCACCCTTGTAAGGTCACTAAACCTTTTCTGCTTTTGCAGATATTTGCGTCTTTAGATACTGAGGCTTGGCTAGATTCAGGTTCACTCTTTTTTTTTTTCAAGCATACTTGCTGCTTGTAATTGTGCCGCATCTAGAGGACATCATGTCTATTTATCTCTACTTTAGTCATGTTAAGATTAATTAGTAGGGCCCCTTGAGTTAATGTATTCTGCGTCAATCTCTCACCAAATGTTTTCAGCTCTGGTTAGTGACAGGGTGTTTTGAACTGAGTTTATAAATATATGCAGATGTTAATAATGTACATTATTTTCTATGATGCTTGGTTGCAGTGCTAAGACAGCACTTCTTTCAGTTTATGAGCCATATAATCACAGAAATTATTTTTGTCTAACTGATTTATGTTTTCCAAAAGTCAGAATTCACAATGACAACGATAACCATGGCCACAGAAGTTCCCCCACGGGGTAAGGTGGAAAATAATTCTGCCTTCTATGAGTCTGCATCAGCTCATATTATTGAAGAAACTGAATATGTGAAAGAGGTATGTGGACAATGGAAATCTTGTACCATGAGTGGATCTAAAAAAAAAAAATGAAGTCTGATATAAAATGTTGAGTTTACTTCTCCCATAGGATATGTGAGAAAGAACAAACCTAATTTTCAAAGGACATCCTTGATAGCTGAAATTTAAGGACAGCTTTAGTCATTTCTCTTGTGTGTATTAAATTCTGTGTCCACACTTGGAGTAAAATTAAATAGTGGGTCAAGGGAATTTAAGCACCTATCAGCACTTAATTTGTCCCACATTATGCACCACTGGATTTCCTACTGCTTTATATCATTCTCCAGTTGTTTCTGTCTTCCCAAGAATGTATGTTTCCTGCTTAGGGGCTGTCTCTCCTTATCTTCTTCCTTCTTACCTTTCAGGGAGCTCTCAACGGTGACTACATGTTGGCCTGTTGCTTCATTAAAAATATGAAATCTTACGAGAATCGAGATGATAATGGACCAGTCTTTAGACCTAATGGGAAAATGTGGACATAGATTGTAACTTGTTCAGATCAGTTAATTAATTCATCTTGAGTGTCTTACAATGCTATAGGTCACCAAATCATGGGGCTTATATTTCATGAATAAATTTGTATGATCTCTTCTTCGTAATTGTTCTGTAGTAATTGCTGGATAGTAATTATTTTGTAGTAATTAGTAGATAGTAATTATTTTGTAATGATTGCTAAATAGTAATTGTTTTATAGTAATTACTAAATAGTAAATTAGTACTAAATTGCTATTTAGAAAGAGAATTACAAAGTATTAAATATTAATTACTAAATAGTAATTACTTTATAGTATAATAATCACTTTGGTTATATTTTAAGTTTGAGATTTAGATAAAATGCTTATTTTCCATAGTCTAAACAATATAAGCCTAAAGGCAAGTTAGATTGATGACAGCTATTTAAAATTTATTTTTTCAAAGATTTATTTATAAATGCATATAAGAACTGGGGTACAGGCCAGAGGTGTGGGGGAGGGGGTGAGAAGATTCACCAGAGACAGAGTGGGGAACAGAACAGGCAGATCTACTGAAATACACTGCTGAGGGGAGCAGCGGGCGAGGCAGGAGAGGTCTGCTGTGCCATGTGGGTTGCTCCCTGGCTGGTCAGGGATCGAACTCGTGCTGCAGTGGCTGCGGACAACTTCATAGGTTGCGTCTTAACCCCTTGCACCACCAGGGAAGCCCTATTTAAAATTTAAACCTGAGATCAGTTTACGTGTATTACTTTCTAGACGAGTCAGGTACCCTAAGTTGGTATAGAGATAAAAAGCATTGGCATTAAATGTCTTTGAAAACATTATTTGTATTATTTTTTTTTCTTTTAGATTCGAACCACCCTGGAAAAGATCCGAAGTCAAATGTTTAAAGATGATGGAGGACCGAAAGGTACAAATCAAAAACTAGATGCAAAGGTAATGAATATATCAAGGTGGACTATTTTTATTCCTTTAGAAAACAAACAAAAGACCATATAGAGTTTATAGAAACTTGGAGTAATAGACTAAATTATTTTCCAGAGTTTTGAATGATGTGTTACTCTGGGTATCTAAAGATGTTAATGGGCATATGCATGTAATGCTTAACCATAGATGTCCTCAGTAGTATAGGATTGAAATGACCAGACATTACTTGGGTATTTTAAATAGAGTTTACTTATTGAAAATCCGTGGGAGGGCCTCCCCTGGTGCACAGCGGTTGAGCGCTGGGCTGCGAAGCTGCCCGCAGCCTCTGCAGCGCCGGTTCGATCCCCCGCCACTGGCGAGGGTCCCACATGGCGTGCAGACCTCTCCTGCCGCCCGCTGCTCCCCTCAGCAGTGTATTTCAGTCAGTCTGCCTGCTCTGCTCCCCGCTCTGGCTCTGGTGAATTCTCTCACCCTCCCGCGCTTCTGACTGTACCCAGTGCTTGTATGAATAAATAAATAAATCTTTAAAAAAAAAAAAAAAGAAAAGAAAATCCGTGGGAAGATGCCGGCCCAGCCAGGATACATGCTGCAACATTTCCTAGTGACAAAAAGAGGTACAAGTTTTTAGGCTTACCTGGGTCACATCAGGTAAGCCAAGAGGCTTGAGTGATCAGACTATAGGTAAATTGAAATGCACGCTCTCCACCAGTACTCCAGGTTGAGCACGCTGCTCTCAGCCTTGTCTGGGTTATGCCAGGTTAAGCCTCATCCGAGTCGAGGATACCTCATCAGTGTCAGTGCTGCCCACTATACTATATGGCCATAGGATGGCGGCAGGAAAGAGGGTATGGTGCCAGCAGTCTCCTCTGTCACCCTCAGTCTCCCATACTAACACACTAACACTTTGACCCCAAATAAACACATTTTGCCTTTTTAATGGCTTCCTGAATTTTAGGTTAACAATACCTACATTTTTTTTTTCCATTTTTTTTTTTTTAAATAGAGGCATGTTTTATTTATTTATTTGTTTGTTTGTGTGTTTGTTTTGTTTATACATGCACTGGGTACAGTCAGAAGCGCGGGAGGGTGAGAGAACTCACCAGAGCCAGAGCAGGGAGTAAAACAGGCAGAAGGACCGAAGTACACTGCTGAGAGGAGCAGCGGGCGGCAGGAGAGGTCTGCGCGCCATGTGGGACCCTCCTCTGGTGGCCGGGGATCGAACTGGTGCCGCAGAGGCCGCGGGCGGCTTCGCAACCCAGCGCTCAACCGCTGCGCCACAGGGGAGGCCCAATAATACCTACAATTTTAATAAATTTTTTGATATTAGCTCAAATTATTTTCTTAAATTAAGTTCTGTGAGACCGGGGAAAAAAAGGTTATGTTTGGTAAAGATTGGAAAGATCAAAAACTCAATTTGGCTATGTTGAGTTTGGTGATTCTCTATAATTCATATTCCCACCTCTGATTTTTGCTTCTAGATACTTCCTGTAGCACTCTGTTTTCTCTATAGCTGTCTACACCTAAAGAATTTTCATTTCTTTAGCTGGGTTAACAACTAAGTTAATCATTCCTGCTTCCACCTCCAGTTTCTGATTTTGTGAAGCCTCCATCTTCAATTTTCTTTGGCTCCATCGGTCTGCACTCCCAGCAGCAGCACCACCACCAGAGCTTGTTTGGAAGGCAGCACCACCTAGAGCTCCACCTCTAGACCTCCTGAATCAGAATCTGCATTTCAGCCAGACCAGTTGATTCACATGCCCACAAATGTTTGAGGAGCACTGAACCATGACCTTTGTAGCTGTCTACAATTGTCTATAATCCATCCTCTACAAGATTCTTTCTATCAATGTTCACAAATTAAGAAAGAAAATAATTCCTGTTCTATGTATGATATAGAGTATATATAGAGAGTATGATATAGAGAGCACTAGGATATGAACTAGAATAACAAAGCCATGGCAGAGTAGTAGTGAGGATAATATTTATAAGCAGTGTATTTATTTGGCTTTTATTTCTATAAATGCAGTTAGTATATTATAGTGAAAATAATGCAGGTTTTTGGTTCAAACTTGGATTCTAATTCTCATTCTGGCAGTTAATTTAAATATAACCTTGGACTTATTAGTTAAACTCTCTTATCTCCAATTCCCTCATCTGTATAATAGGCCAAATGCCTTCTAGCATCTTGAGTATTCAGGGGCAGGACTGGATATAAAATATCTAAAAGATTACCTGGCACAGTAGAGAACTAACAAAGAATTTGTTAATATAATTGTAGGTATTGTTAACCTAAAATTCAGGAAGCTATTAAAAAGGAAAACGTATTTATTTGGAGTCAAAGAATTGCAATCCAGAATATACAGGTTAAGAGAGAGACCTAAAACATGTCCCAAGAAGGGTTAACATCTAGAGGTTTTTATGGAAGAAAAAAGGTGATTAGAGAAAAAAGCTTGAGTAATGTCAATAAGCTTAAGCTATTCTTGACTCATAATTGGTTTCTGATTCCGTCCTCTTGCAAAAGGTTCCTATTCATCAATCCTCAAGACGATGATGACTTCTCAAACAAGTGTATGTGTGGCAGTTCTTAAAACAATTGCTTTTGGCCTAGTTCAAAGGTCTTTGACCTAGTTCAAATGGGATAGGTAACACAGTTTCTCGGAGAATGATCAGCTCCATTTTAAAAATAATTCCAAAAATGTCAAATTTTCACAATATACATAATTGTGTAATTCCTTAATCTGTGTTGAAATAATTTGAAGGAGGGGGGTGAGGGCTGGTTAGACAATCAAGAGCCTGTATCTCATGAGTTCTTACTCACTTGCTACGTAAACTTGGAACCCAGTCCTCAGTTCTCATGTCTGCACAATTGATGGGCTTGAGTTAGATGGTTTCAAATTTCCTTCCCCTCTCCACTATTCCATGATTTCATTCCAGATGAGATTTACTATGTTCCAAGCCTGTGGAGTTTACAAAGAGCTACACTGACAGTAACATTCAGTTCTGACATCTCTGCTTGGAAATTTATTAAGGGGTGAATATAAGGAAGTATAATTTAACATTGACTATTATGTCTTATAAGTTCTGATTAAATAAATTTTCAATGCAATATGACCAAAATACATTTGTCTAAAACTTACACTTAAATAAAATGGACCTTGAGGATATTATTTATCTCCTGAAAAGGACTTAATAGTATAGTGCAAAACTATAGCAAATGTAAAAGGCATTAAAGGTGAATTTCTGCTTCTTTTTAATAGAAGATTCCATTCAAATTTAAGCAAACAAGAGGCTAGCTGCCTGGTTTAGGTATTTGAGGTTCAGAGGATTTATTTGTATTCACCTGAATCATCCATGATATGTGTAATAATACTGAGTGGTAATTATTGTTGTCAACTTTCACAGAGGAAAAGTCAGGTCTGTGATTACCATGTTTGTTCATTTCAGCATTGTGGAAACATTCAAAATGCCTCTGATTCTGAAATGGATCCCTCTTGTTGCAGTTTGGATCTGCTCATGGAAAGAATGAAAGGAAAAGACCTACAGCTCTTAGAAATGAGCAAAGAGAATGAAGTATTGAAAATCAAGGTATGATCATTAGAATAAGCTTCTAATATTGTATTTTGAGCCTTCGAGTCAACAGGATAGATTCACAGCTCTATGAAGGCAGGTAGACATCCACACATTTATAGTCATACATAGGTGCATGTACACAGAAGAGCATTTTTACATTCATAAATTAAATCCCACTGTTTTATTTTGGAAACAACTTTTATTATTAAAGAATCATACAAATTTACTAGCTGTATAGTTTCAGCTGTGAAAGGGGCATAAGTCCTAGAGATCTGCTATATAACCTTGTGCCTATGTTTCAGAGCAACCCAAAAGGAAATGGGGTGGTCTGAGTATGAGTCCTCACTCGAATGCTGAAAAATACTCAGAACAAGACCTAAGGGCAGGTACACTCTGAAAGGTTAATAAAAGCTTTATTTACAAGGGAAATGAAAGAAAGGAAGCACAGACAGAGAGAAGGAAAAAAAAAAAAGAGATTAATTGGTCAATAAGTCCTACCAAGTAAGGCTGTCTGAGCTGGAACCCCTGATGCAAACTGAAGGCAGGCAAAACCATGTCCTCTCCAGGCCCAAGTGTTTTCAGTATTATACCAAGCATGGCTGCTTAACTTCATCCTTAGTTCCCAGCAATCCCCACTTCAGTAAGTCAAGAGTCATGGCAGGTTCATGGCATGATGGGAGTTGTAATACTCAATTGGGATCTCTATGGCATGGAGGTGGGGGTGGAGTCCGTAAAACATCAGTGAGTGGTTATTCAGAATATACTGTTCCACCAACACCAATACTGAATACTGTATCATACATCTAACAATTTGTGAGGATAGGAGTCATGTTAAGTGTTCTTAATTCAACAACATTTCAAAAAGTGTTTATATATTTAATAACTATGAATTGGAGTGCTCATGGTGCTTTGTAATTTGTTATTGTTGGATGCTTTATATTTTCCCTTTTGGGATTTATTTTATGTGCGGTCCTGAAATGAATATCTTGGTCAGTAAATCTTTACAACCATCCATGTGTTAGCTGAAAATAAAGTTTCAAGGATAGTTAGACAAATAGTTTATTAGATAATCAAAGTGAGGATTCAAAAGCAGCAATCTGACAGAATTTACACTGTGAGGGATGTTTCAATAAACATATGTTTGAATATGGTTTATGAAGCTAAAAACAGTGAATCACTGACATTAAGAATGTAAATTCTTGACCTGAGGGGCTTCCAATTCTGAGTTGTCCTAAAGATATGCTGACGCAAGATTTAATCTCTTCCTTTTTGAAAGACTGCCCTGCAGAGATGGAAAGATTGGCTACCCATTTTATATTCTTTATCTGGCTCCTTGGTCATCATTGGGGGAGAAAAGACTGGTTTTACTTTTAGGTAACAGATTTCTGCCACCGGATGGAGCCTATGAGGATGGCTTTGCTCTATATAGGTTCACATGATTATTTCCTTAGATAAAATTCTTGAAAAATTCATGTCTTAGCCTTATTGTGCTTGAAACACCAATCTTGTCCCACTTTTAGATCGGGACAGTGCATCTTTTAGTGCAGTGGTGGACATCAGTGATAAAATGCTTGCAAGTGTTTGAGCGGACAGCGCGCTGTAGTCTGAGCTCCTTGGAGCATGACTTCTGTGAATGTGGCCATTGCTGTGCTGGGAGCCAGTTTTGTCCACCCAGCGGCAGCCACCCGCATGTCAGTCCCATTAAATAGGGTGGTTCTCATTTCACATTTCCCACATAACAGTGTCTTTTCTCCCACCTGTTGCTTAAGAGGATGTGAATGGTGCCATTTTTAATTGCCTATCAAACTGCTCTGTCCCTACGTTTTATTGTAAAGGTCAATACATGCACAGTGACCTTTGTTTTTTTCTTTCTTCTAGCTGGAAGCCTCCAGGGAAGCAGGAGCAGCAGCTCTAAGAAGTGTGGCCCAGAGATTATTTGAGAACTACCGAACACAGTCTGAGGAAGTTAGAAAGAAGCATGAGGACAGTAAACGGTTGCTTCAGGTACTGACTGAGCCATTCTGTTGGGGAACTAGCCTTCCCGATGCTCGTGTCCTGCTTTTGAGAGGAGCTGGACATGAAACGAGGAATGGCCATGTGATCTGGCAAACCCTGGCACATGGAGGCTGCCCCTCTGCTGTGCCCACGTCCCCCAACACTGCTTAGCCTGACATGGGGAAGCGGCAGGGCAGAGGGGGAGGTGGTTGCTGTGTTGCTCTCTGGCTCAGCCACAGGTGGGAAAGAGGCTCAGCCTCTCCTCTGCCTCCCCCCCCCCGCCCGAAACCAGGAATGACCTGTGATGTCTTCCAGTTCTCCCTTTTACTAACCAGATAACCCAGGTTGTGTCATTCTGCCATTCTGGACATGGGGTTTCTTGTCCCTCAAAGGAGAGACTTGGATTAGATAAATGGTTTCAAAAATGTTTACTCCTAGAATACACTATGCAGGTCAGACAATCAAAACCGTGTATGTATGTATATGTATATATTTAAAATATACATAAAAATTACATATTTTATACTTCAGTCTATAAATACATAAAAATATAGAAACATAAATATGTATATGTGCATATGTGTGCATATATATACATATATTCTCATAACACACACTTTTTTGGGTTTCTTTTAAATCAGAAGAATGTATTCTAGGACTGAAAGAGATAAAAATAAATGTGTGTCTTGTGTGTATGTTTTTGCCGAAGTTCAAAATAGGGCAGCTCGCTCAAGCCGGGGTGGGTGCCTCGATCTCTAGAGAGGTCCCCAGGGGAGCAGAGGGCTGCACCCAGTGCACTGGTGACAGGCCCTGGTGCTCAGGCCATGCTGGGAACGAGTACATGTGATGGTGAAGAACCGAGACCGAGATGTGAAGTGCCCTGGCTGCCGGACAGGAGGGCGCTCTGAGTGGAGGGCCTGTGGGCTGGATGCAGAGTCCCTGCCAGGCACTAGTTTAGGCTGGAGCTGGCTGGCAGGAATACCCACCTGGTGTTTCCAGGGGAGTTGGGCACTTTTTCTCTTACCATAAAATCCGAAGTTCTACTAAATGCACACGCAGATGTGCACGCACATGTCAGTTAGAAGCCAGCTGAAACACTACGAGGGAGGCCTGTGGGCTAGCAGAGGAAGACAAGGTCTCTTCCTTGGTCGTTCACACCACTCCCGCCATAAGCCCGGGAATAACCCCCTGACACAGTGGATAATGATTCTGCTTTTATGACACTCTCTGATAAAATAATAAAGCATGTTTTACTTGAACATAAAACATTTTGCTTTTGTTCTAGATGCTTTGTTGAAATAAAATAAAAATTTTGCTTTTCTTACATGTGTCTCTCTTATACCACTGCAGATAATATGCTTTATGGTAAAAAATGGGGATATTCTATATGTAAATATTTCTATATTATTAATTCTCCATTTATTTAGTATTGTCATAATCCATCAGGTTTATTTTGAAGGAAATACTGAATTCAAAAAAGTACTTCTAAATAAGTGTCAATGGTTATTATTATTTCTTTTGTCTACCCACAAAATTATCAAGGAAGATAGCATTTGTGTAGGTTTCATAAAAGCAATATTCTGACAACTGTTCTTTTCACCAAAGGTGAACAAACTTGAAAATGAACAGAAATTAAAACAACATGTTGAAAATCTGAATCAAGTTAGTGAAAAGCTTGAAGAAAAACATAGTCAAATCATAGATTTGGAGAACCTTGTACAGAGAATGGAAAAGGTAAGCCTCTTCAGAATTAAGGGAATTTCTTTCTCATTAAGTGATGTATTCTTTGTAACTCCTAATAAGTTAGCAAGTACTCCATAATGTTCTTTCTTCCTTACACATTTAGTGTGATTGGTTCTGTAGTTACTGATTTACCTCTTTACAAATATACAGTCTTACCTTTGTCACTTTCTCTTTCTACTAAAAGTGTGACTTAAAGGAGCCAGCTGAGGCTGAAAATGGAAGCAGTAGAAAGGATCACAGTCTACCCATTAGTCATAATACTGTGAATCCCTGCAATCACAGTATTTACATGTAGTAGAGTCTGACATATTCTTTTTTGGCCACTCGAGTTCATTTTAGGTTTAAAACAAATGACTGCACTAGGACAGATATAATTTACATTAAGAAAAACCAATCTATGGAAATTGGAACTTTAAAAATATATCCCCAAATTTCAGAAAGAGAATAAAAATTAAATTTTAATAGAATAAAAATTACTAAAAATTTCATGCATGTTCCTTTAAGTAATTGGCACTACAAACACATACAAAGGGTAAGCACGTACGTTTAGTTATGCATGCCTTAGAATTTAGAACTCAGACAAACCAAGAAATACTGGTTTTTAGTAGCAAAATAAACAAATAGAAAATTGGCAGCTCTGAAATGGAATTGGGAGTTGATAAGAATATAGGCCTTAACTTCTAGTAAATATGACCCAATACATATTTATGTTTATTAAATTAATTCCTCAATTTGCCTCTGCTCTTTCAAGTCCTATTTTTTTTTTTATGAGGGTGTCTGGATTAATGTTATTTTAAAAACGTCACTTCAAAGGCATTGCACTTTCATATTGAGGTTTTCTGCCAACTTTAATTAATTTAAAAATATTTACCAAGAATTCAAAACACAGTGGATTTGACATCTTTTTTTTTTTTTTTTTGTGGGACCCTCGCCAGTGGCCGGGGAATGAATTGGCGCTGCAGAGGCTGCGGACAGCCTCGCAGCCCAGTGCTCAACCGCTACGCCACCAGTGGAGGCCCTGAATTTATAATCTTAATGACGGTCCTATGAGGAAATCAAGAAAACTAAATCAATAGCCCCAAACTCAGCTAAGTCTAATAATGATACTAACGATATACCAGCTACATCTGCATTGTGCTGTGGGTCACTGTTTTATTGAGTCAGAATCATTGAGTTAGAAATCCTCAAGCAGGTGGCTTGCTAAGGTGTGACAGTTTATGATTATTACAAATTATAAAATTTGGATGAATACTTCAGTGTTAGAACATTTATTGTGTTATCAATAGTTCAACAAGCCAAGATAGCCGAAAGAATATTTTCATTTAGGAAAGGAAGACAATTCTGGAAAGCAAATAGGGTCGTTTAACCAAACAACTTAACTAGTCAGCCTGATATTCACACTGCTTCAGATTTCATTGCCAACTGTCAGTCCCTGAAAATTCACAAAAGAACAGTGGATAATTCGTTTAAATAACCTTATTTTCCCAGCAACTCCAGATAATCTGCACTGGATGTGATTCCATTTTAGAATTCGGGGATATATCCACTAGACTGTTTATTCAACAATATTTGAGCACCTATCATGTGCTAGGTAGAGCTGCCAATAAATCAGAGATAATCTCTTTCTGTAAAAATTCCAATGTAGTATATTTGGATTGAGTGACGCTCCAACAACTTCCCAGATGGCCTTTTTTTCTCCTAGGTGTTCTTAGGGAGGTTGACAGTCCTATTGAAGGTAGGGGGAAGGTAGGAATGAGTTAGTGGGTCAGAGTCTCGCAGATACTTTTGAGAAGGGGTGGCCTAGCATTTATTTTGACCAATGACGGTGGCAGTGTCCAGGTGCTCTGTGGCAAAGTGGCCAGAATGTCCCTGGTTCAGAAAACCATACAGGGGCCTCCCTGGTGGAACAAGGGGTTAAGCGCTGCACTATGAAGCAATCCGCAGCCTCTGCAGCATGAGTTCGATCCCTGGCCGGCCACGGAGCTACCCACATAGCACAGCATACTTCTCCTGTCTCGCCCACTGCTCCCCTCAGCAGTGTATTTCAGTCAGTCTGCCTGTTCTGTTCCCCACTCTGTCTCTGGTGAATCCTCTCACCCCCCTGCACCTCTGGCCTGTACCCCAGCTCTTGTATGCATAAATAAAATAAAAATCTTTAAAAAAAAAAAAGAAAGAAAAGAAAACCATACAGTCATCTTTCAGAATACCTTAGCTCAGTGCCTTCCTACAGTGGAGCTTATTGGAATGCCCGGGAGGCAGAAACAGGGGGATGGAGTGAAAGGACAATGTGAAAAAGGTTTTATACTTTATATTTGTGAAACAAACAAGCAAATACATAAAACTCTAAGAAGCAATCCTTGGCAATATCTTGGTTTAAGGAGACTTTCAAAATACAGGCTGAGACAGGGTTTTCTCAGATGTGTAGTATGTATGAGTGGAAGGGGGTCTGGATTTTTGTATTATTAGGAAAAAGGCAGGATTCTAAGAGGAAATGAAAATTAAAAAATGAACATCCAGAACAAAGATTGATAAATACTGCCCTGGTAGTGAGTGCCCCCTGGAGAAGGCTGCGTTCTCTACTCACTTGAACAAGCCACTGCTCCAGTAAATAGCCATTAGTGGTATGAGGTCTGGTAATGAACACATTACTTAAAACCTTCACCATCTGTCCCACTTTAATCAAGAATGCAGTGAGAATGAATTCCATAAACAGTGATAAGCCGGCAAAAACGCTCAGTAAGAGCACTTTAATATGGCATATGTTCCTTTTACTAGCTGTGCAATTCTGTTGCATCATATTTGTTTTGTAGTGTCACTGATTTAGCTCTATTAGATTTTTAGAGCTCGAAGGCACTTTTGAGACCACTGAGTTTCTCATCATCATTTTATAAATGAGGACAATGTGAACAAGGAACTATTCCACAGTCCTCCAGTTAAAGTTCATAATCCTTTCCATTATGCCCCATCTTCTGTGATGCCAGATAAAAATGAGTGCCTCGTTCCTAAGTCATTTAGATGTTAGCATTTGGCAAATTTTAATTGGTGTCTGCTGCGATTAAGAATGTGAGGACATTCTTCTGGCCCTCAGAGGGGAGGTTTGCCCACTGGGTGGCGCTGTGCACTACTGTCCCTTTCCAGGAGACACTGCCCCTGAGAGAGGCTGGATTAGTGTGACTTTCTGTTGTCAAAAAGGAAGGATTAAGTGCCCAAACTAGATTTTAGACACTTGGCCAAAGTGTAAAGTTCACTTGTCCAGTGGTGTGGTCTGCTTGAACCCTGGTTATTAAGATCCATTAATCAAGAGTAAGTTCATAAGAAGAATCTTTGTGAGACACTGTTTTCTTCTCTGAAAATTCAAAATATGTTATCAGAGATGTATTTCTTTGATCCAAGTATCATAATAAGCTTACAACATTTATCTGTGATCCCTTAGAAATAATTTTTATTCAACTAGGGCTCCATCAGGACAGTTTCTATGTGTGACAAGAATGCAGAGAAAATTAGAAAAAGTTAATATAATTTAAAAAAGATAGAAGACATACAACATGAGATATTTGACACTTTTAAGTGATTATATATTGAGATCTAGCTGCATCAGGGCTTTTCTCCTATATACCATTTAATCATCCCAACATTTCAGTGTAGGTGGTATTATCCCCATTTTAGGTATATTCAAAAATTGAAAAAGGTATAGCATATATAGATAGATATAGATATAAATATAGATATAGTGTTACCAGTAAGATAGTAACACTAAGTTAAATAATATTTAAGTAACTCTTTATAGGCATTCTGAAAAACAAAGACACAGAATAGGATTACTAGATTAAACACAAAACTGGTTAACATTCCTTAAGGCAATTTCACCCTAACCTTTCAGGTTATCTTTTCTTCCCAGCAGAAAGCTACCTATTAACATGCAAATTCACAGAATAAGGGCTCTACTCAAATGAAAAATAATAACATCAAACCCAAGGAAATTCTCTAAGTGAATTAAATAATCCTTGAGCCAGATTTCTAAGCAATGACCAACATGCCATGAAACCATATGCTGTATATTGTTTAGATTTCCAAGATATGGTTACTTTTTCTTAACAGTTGTAAGACTTTGAGATATTAAAGTCTTATCACTTGGCAGAAATTATGCAGCCACAAAGTTTCAAAACCAGTACAGTCCAAAGTCTTCCCAATGTTTTTGCTATACAGGATTGATTTTATAGTAGCTGCAAAAATATTGCAGCAGAAATGATTTTAAAACATCTCTTACCAGAGATATGAAAAAAGAACACGAGTGTCCCAGCTTGTTTTTTCATGGACTTATTTATTTTTCTTTTGGATGGAAAGGGTTTAGCTTAATAACGACATAAGGCATTTGTTTAGATATTTCCTCAAAGTGTTGTAATTTCTTTCCTCTCCTAAAAATGATGTGACTATCATTTGTGGCCTTGATCCTTCATTAAAATACCTCGACTATTTTTCTGCTTTCTGACAGATGCCATGTGAGCAGGTAGCTACCAAAATAAGTGCAGCTACGTCCGTAAATGCCAACAGCTCAGCCTAATGGAGGAGAGCAGGTGAAATGGGAGGAGGAGGATCCAATGTCTACAGAGAGATGAGCAGGGACTTTGTATAATATTGGGGGTAGAGTGGAGGGAAACAGGAGATATTTTACTGATTAGGTTATATCTCAGTGGAGATGCAAAAACTCTAGGCAGGTGAGGGGAATGAAAGCTTGTCTTAACCTGTCACTGAGCTACTTGAAACCATGCAGGAGAGCACCTGAGCAGTACAGCTCCATCTGAAATTAGATCTTAGCACAAGACGTATTGTTGGTATTGTAAGATGCATCTTTTCTGAACAATTTGCAAAAATGCCTTACACACACATGCATATAGAGAAAGAGAGAGACAGAAAGAGGGAGAAAAAAGCAAAAATTGTCTTTTATTTTCTCCTAGGAAAAGAGAACATTGCTAGAAAAAAAATTGTCTTTGGAAAAGCAGCTGCTACAACTCAAACCCAATGCTACCTACAACAAAAGGTATGTAAGAAGAGGTTGGAAATGGTTTTAGCCATTTGGAATTGGTTTGAGGCAGTTTGACTGGCTTCAGCCAGTTTGAACCAGTCAGAACTGGTTTCAGCCAGTTTGAACTGGTTTCAGAATTTGAGCCTGTTAGAACCAGTGTCACGTGGCTTCAGTTTCAGTTGGATTTGCTGTCAGTTCTTTGAGGAAGTCAGAACCTATTTCAGTCAGTTTCAGTTTCTCTTGGAATGAACTCTTCAGAACTGTTTGGAAACGATTTCATCCATTTTGAGCTAGTAGGATGCAGTGTCAATTGCTTTCACTTTCACTTGACTTCAGTTGCAGTTGGTTTTGCTTTCATTTCTGTGAACAAGTCAGAACTGGTTAGAACCAGCCAAAACTGGTTTCAGCTGGTCAGAATCGGTTTGAGCCAGTTTGAACTTTTCAGCCAGTTTGAACTGGTTTCAGAATTTTGAGACTGTTAAAACTGGTGTCACTTGGTTTCAGTTTCAGTTTTCTAAAGAAGTCAAAACTGGTTTGAACCGGTCCAAATGGGTTTCAGCCAGTTTGAACTGGTCAGAACTGATTAAGCTAGTTTCAGTCAGTTTGAACTGTTTGGAGGCCTGTTTTAGCCAGTTTGAACAGGTCAGTACCAGTTTCAACCATTTGGAAGTGGTTTCGGATAGTCAGTAGTGGTTTCAACCTGTTTGAACTGGTCAGAACCAGTTTCAGCCAGTTGGAATCAGTGAGAAATGGTTTCAACCAGTCGGAACCAGTTTCAACCAGTTTGAATAAATCCAAACTGGTGTCAGCCAGTTTGAACTGGTCGGACTGGTTTCAGCAGGTCTCAGTCCATTTAAAATGGTCGAATGGGGTTTTAACCAGTTTCAGAATTTTGAAGCTGTAAGAACCAGTGTCACATGGTTCCAGTTTCACTTGGTTTTGGCTTTAGTTCTTTGAAGAAGTCAGAACCAGATTCAATCAGTTTCAGTTTCACTTGGTTTGAAAAAGTCAGAACAGTTTGGAAATGGTTTCATCCATCGTGAGCCAGTAGGGGGCACTGTTGGTTGGTTTCACTATCAGTTTGGAACCAGTGTCAGCTGTTTTGAACCTGTTGGCACCGGTTTCAGGTGGTTTGAACTAGTTTGAGCTGGCTGGAACCTATTTCAGCAGCTCAGAACCAGTATGAACCAGTTTCAGCTGATTTGAACCAGTCGGAACTGGTTTCAGCCAGTCTGAACTGGTTTCAATCAGTCTGAACCAGTTCGAACCAGTTGGCATTGGTTTCAGCTGCTCACAACCGGTACGAACTGCTTTCAGTAAGTTTGAGCCAATCAGAACCGGTTTCAGCCAGTCAGAACTGAGAGGCTGTTAGAACAAGTGCCACCTGGTTCCAGATTCATTTGGTTCTAGTTTCAGTTCTTAGAAGAAGACAGAACTAGATTCAGTCAGTTACAGTTTCACTTGGTTTGAACTCCTCAGAACTTTTTGGAAACTATTATGTCTGTTTTCAGTGGCACTGAGAGTTGGTTTCACTTTCAGTTCATTTTAGTTTCAGTTGATTTCAGTTTCAACACTATGAGGAATTCGGAACCAGTTTGAGCAGGCTGGAACCGGTCTGAACTGGTTTCAGCCAGTTTGAACTGATCTCAGCCAGTCTGAATCAGTCTGAAATGGTCAGAACCTTTTTCACCTGGTTTGAACTGGTTTCATCTGGTTTCACCCACTTTGAAATGGTTGGAGCTGGTTGGAACTGGTTTCGCCAGTATGAACCTATTTCAAACTTTAAACCTGTTAGAACCAGTGTCACCTCGTTCCAGAGTCACATGGTTCTGTTTTCAGTTCTTAGAAGTCAGAACTGGATTCAGCCAGTTGCAGTTTCACTTGGTTTGAACACCTCAGAACTTTCTGGAATTTAGTTCATCTGTTTTCGGCCAGAAGGAAGGACTGTCGGTTGTTTTCACTTTCAGTTCACTTCAGTTTCAGTTGGTTTCAGTTTCACAGGTGTGAGGAATTCAGAACCATTTTGGGTTGGTCTGAACCAGTTCCAGATTAAACTGGCTTGAACTGGTTTTAGCTGGTTTGACCATGTTGGAACCTGTCTGAACCGACTGAAATAGATTTCAGCAGCCTGAACCCATTTGAACCGGTCTGAACTGGTTTCAACCAGTTTGAACTGGTCTCAACCAGTCAGAACAGGTTTGAACCCACCTGGACCGGCTTCAGCTGGTTTGCGTTGGTTTCAGCATTTTGACTGTTAGAACCAGTGTCATGTGTTTCCAGTTTCAGTTGGTTTTGGCTTCAGTTCTTTGAAAAAGTCAGAACTGGATTCAGTCAGTTTCAGTTTCACTTGTTTTGAATTGGTCAGAACTGTTTGGGAATAATTTTATCCGTTTTGAGCCAGTTGGTGGTAGTATCAGTTAGTTTCACTTTCAGTTGGCGTCAGTTTCAGTTTCTCTTCTGTGAAGGAGTTGGAGTATGTTGGAAATAGTTTGAAATGGTTGGAACCAGTTTCACCTGGTCAGAACCTCTTTGAATCTGTCCAAACCGTTTTCAGCCCATTTGAACCAGTCAAAACTGTTTCAGCAAGTGAATTGGTTTGAACCAGTCATGACCAGTTCCATATCTTTGTAGAATATGAAGGAGAGCATTGTGGAACATACCCATAGGCCTTTGGCACAGCTTACAAATATTCATAAATTTTTGACATAGTTTTTTTTTTCCTAAAAGAAAGCTTTTTCAAGCAGCAAAAGTACTGATGGGTACAATATATTTTTGTTAAGAATCCAAATAATCTGAGTTTCATTTTTTCTTTAAATAATAATTTTTGTCAATAACACAGTATTTGTCAGTTTTGAAGCCAAAAATCTATTTTAAAAATCAGACTGATCACTGCCTGTTCTGTTCCCCACTCTGTCTCTGGTGAATCCTCTCACCCTCCTGCACATCTGGCCTGTACCCCGGTTCTTGTATAAATAAAATAAATCTTTAATAAAAATAAAAATCAGATTGATCAAAGATTCTTTCAGTTCTGTTATATAGGAGCAGTTGTTATAAAGGATTCTCAAAAAGGTCTTAAAAAAGTTTTAGGAATATCTTGAGGGAAATGAATGCTTTGTGTTTCTAGAAAGGTTTATGTAGTTTTCATAGATTGTAGGTATCACAAATATTTATGTTTATTACTTTTCTGAGGTATTCACTTTGTGAGGTAACAAGGTAAAGAATTCAGTATGGATCAGATTCTTAGTTAAAGCAGTAAAGACTTACTTAACACCACAAATAAAAAGGGTGAGAGAGATGGCCATAAAGAGGATGGATGTTATCTCATAGGAGGGCAATCCTTTAGCATTTAATCTGGTTTTAAAACCAACTTGTCTGAACTAGAACCATTGTCAGTAGGTTTCAGATCCAGTTGTTTTCAGCTTCAGTTCTTTGAACAAGTCAGAAAAGGCTTCAAGTGTTTTCAATTTCAATTGGTTTGTACAAGTCAGAAGAGGTCAGGACCGGTTTTAGCCACTCTGGAAGGTTCAAAACCAGCTTGGAAATGGATCTGGAAAGGTCAGAACTGGTTTCTGCTGTTATGAACTATTCAAAACCGTTTCAGACAGTCTGAACTGGTTTGAACTTGTCAAGACTTATTTCAACCATTCAAAACTGTTTACAGCTGATCTGAACTGGTCCATAGTGGTCACTGCCAGTTAAAGCTGGTTTGAGCTGGTCAAAACTGGTTACAGCTGGTCTGAACATGTCTGAACCAGCTACACCTAGTCTGAACCATTTGAACTGGTTACAGTCAGTTTGAACCAGTCAGAACCAGTTACAGCCAGTTTGAGCCAGTTGGAACTGATTACAGCTGGTTGGAATTGGTCACAGCCAGAAAGAACCAGCTACAGCCAATTGGAACCAGTCAGAGCCAGTTCGAACAACTCACAGCTGGTCAGATCCAGTTACAGCCCGTTGGAACCAGTTGGAGCCAGTCTGAACTGCTCACAGCTGGTTTGAACTACTCGCAGCCAGTTTGAACCATATTTTTATGCTCTCGTTCAGTAATAGGTGTTTGTACATTTTCTTTTTTTTCTTTAAATGGAAGGTTTTTTTTTTAAAGATTTATTTATTTTTATACAAGAACTGGAGTACAGGTCAGAAGCATGGGAGGGTGAGAGGATTCACCAGAGACAGAGAGGGGAGCAGAACTGGCAGACGGACTGAAGGCACCGCTGAGGGGAGCAGCGGGCGAGGCAGGAGAGGTCTGCTGTGCCATGTGGGAATCTCCCTGGCCATCCAGGAATCAAACCCATGCTGCAGAGGCTGTGGACAGCTTCACAGCGCTGTGCTCAACCCGCTGTGCCACCAGGGAGACCCCAGTATTTGTACATTTTCATTCTTGTTCTTTGATTCATTCACTCTCCTACTCCCCCTTTTCACTGGTTAGTTTATATTTTCTGTATTTTCCTTTCAATAACAGGAAAGAGTCTGATTTGCCTGTTGCTACTCCCTGGGCTAGGCAGGTTGATCATGTTGACCAACCCCTAACTTTGTCATTCAACACATGGCTCTCCATGGGCACCTGCTCCCAGTCCTGTAGGTGGCCTCCCTTATTCAAAACACCCATAGCACTGAGAGAGAGTTCTGGGTTATTTAATCTCCCTTAGGCATAGATGGGAGGCTTCATACACACCATGACTTTCTTGAGTTGCAGTGAACCTGATTCTGCTATTTTGATAAACAGATTCAGTAAGTTCTAACTTGGATTTCTCATATTAAGGATCACATCTAAGAATAACTTTTAAGTTTGTAATTCAGAAGAAATGGCAGTTGTTTCTTGCAAATGGGTATGTATAGAACATTATATTAATCAAATCCTCACAGTCACTTTTAACCTCTCATTAAAAAACATCTCTTTTTGGGCCTCCCTGATGGTGCAGGTGTTAAAGTTTCGGTGCTATCAATTTATCGCCAGCCACTGCAGAATGAATTTGATGCCCGGCCAGGGAGCTAACTGACATGGCGCAGCAGAC